CCAAAGCATGTGAGACAAAGTCTTGCCATCCTTGCTTTCAAGGAGCATTCTGGCTGTACTTCTTCCAAGACAGATTTGTTTGTTCTTCTGGAAGTCCATGGTATATTCAATATTCTTCCCCAACACCATAATTCAAATGCATCAATTCGTCTTCAGTCTCCCTTATTCACTGACGAGCTTTTGCATGTATATGAGGCGACTGAAAATACCAGGGCTTGGGTCAGGTGCACCTTAGTCCTCAAAGTGACTTCTTAGCTTTTTAACACTTTAAAGGGATCTTTTACAGCAGATCAGCCCAATGCAATACCTTGTTTGATTTCCTGACTGCTGCTTCCGTGGGTGTTGATTGTGGATCCAAATAAAATGAAATCCTTGACAACTTCAACCTTTTCTCCCTTTTTCGTGATGTTGTTTACTGGTCCATTTGTGAGGATTTTTGTTTCATGCTGAGGTGTAATCCATCCTGAAGGCTGTGGTCTCTGATCTTCATCAGTAAGTGCTTCAAGTCCTCTTCACTTTCAGCAAGCAAGGTTGTGTCATTTGCATATTGCAGGTTGTTAATGAGTCTTTCTCCAATCTGATGCCACACTCTTCTTCATATAGTCCAGTTTCTTGGATTATTTGCTGAGCATACAGACTGAATAAATATGGTGAAAGGATACAACCCTGATGCATACCTTTCCTGATTTTAAGCCATGCAGTATCTCCTTGTTCTGTTCGAACGACTGCCTCTTGCTCTATGTACAGGTTCCTCATGAGCACAATTAAGTGTTCTGGAACTCCCATTCTTCACAATGTTACGCAGAATAGAAAACAATCACGTATAATATAGTGTGTATCTGTGTGTATCAGGGCCAGTGACAGAAGAAGTAGAAAATGATCCAGGATAAAAGAGGAATAGCACCTGTCTTTGTCATCTAGTGCTGCTATAACAGAAATACCACAAGTGGATGGCTTTAACAAAGGGAAGTTTATTCTCTCACAGTCCAGTAGGCTAGAAGTCTAAATTCAAGGCGTCAGCTCCAGGGGAAGGCTTTCTCTCTCTGGCAGCTCTGGAAGAAGGTCCTTGTGATGCATCAGTCTTCCCTTGGTCTTGGAGCATCTCAGCACAGGAACCTCAGGTCCAAAGAATGCGCTCTGCTCCCGGCACTGCTTTCTTGGTGGGATGAGGTCCCCATGTGTCTCTGCTTGCTTCTCTCTTTTACATCTCAAAAAAGATTGGCTTAAGACACTATCTGATCTTGTACATCTCATCAATATAATTGCCACTAATCCATCTCATTACATTACAGTGATAGAATTTATAACACATAGGGAAATCACTTCAGATGACAAAATGGTAGACAATCATACAATACTGGGAACCGTGACCTAGCCAAGTTGACAGATTTTTTGGGAGGACACAATTCAATCCATGACAGCACCTAACCCAGAAAGAGGTGGGGAGAGGTGGAGGAAAGAAAGGTGGGGCGGGATTAGGAAAGCAGGACAGGGGTCAAAGAAGGCTTTCCTGGAAAAGTCAGCAGAACTGGAATACAAAAAGGCAATGAGACCAGTAAAGGGGGAGGAGGTAGACAGGGAGTGGAACAGGGTATTTCAAATAGAGAGTCTAGCATGTGTGGCCTCATCTCTGAACTGCTCTCCCACATGAACTAGCTTCCACTCCTCCGTAACAAGCCTTTCCTCATCTCCCTACTGTCTACCTTTCAAAGCTTTCAAAGTCTGGCCCTCATGACCACTACCTTTCAGCCTCCTTTGACAATCCAGCTAGAAACTGCCTCTTCTATATCCGAACTGGAGTCCCTGGGTGGCACAAACGCTAAAGTGCTCAGCTGCCAACCTGAAGGTTGGTGGTTCAAGTTCACCCAGAGGTACCTGGGAAGAAAGGCCCGGCGATCTACTTCCAAAAGATTAGCCACTGAAAACCCTACGGAGCAGTTCTACTCTGATACACACGGGGTTGCCAGTAGTTAGAATCAACTTGACAGCAAGTGGTCTGGTTTGATTTATACCCAAACTCCTTTAGCATGTATTTCTGTACCTCTGGCAAAGATGAGCTTAGTGAATACTCATGAAATGAATTTCTACTGTACCATCTGACTGTGCTCTACAACACTCAAGTCTGGACTATGCATTGGCCTTAGCCGGCCTTCCTACCACCTGCCACTCCCATTCCTTGGGTGAGTTTTTGCACAGTCACCCATATATATAAGAGGCTGATGGCTGTTCCAAGGAGCCCTGGGGGTGCAATGGTAAAATGCTCAGCTGCTAATCAAAAAGCTGGTGGTTTGAAGCCACCCAGCGGCTCCATGGGAGAAAGACCTGGCAATTTGCTCCCAGAAGGATTACAGCCTAGAAAACCTTATGGGAGCAGTTCTACTCTGTCACATGGGGTCACTATGAGTTAGAACTGACTTGGTGGTACCTAACAACAACAACAATGCTGTTCAGATGACCCAGAATGCCCCCCTCCATGCCTGCTGAATTCAACCCATCCTTCATGTCTCAACTGACTGCACTTCTCCTCACCCGAGACCTAACCTATTCTGCTCTCTCCCTTCTCCAGACTTCTTTTGCCTTTTGGGTCAATGCCATCCTGCGTCTCTGACCGACCAGGAACTTCCTGGAGAGCCTGACAAGCACCTGACAAAGTAGCAAAGAACTACTGACAGTCTTCCCGGATCTCTGCTTCCAGCGTTGAGCAAAGAACCTAGTTTCATAAGTAAAGTTGAGAGGTCATGTCGAAAAGAAACTAGCAATAAAAAGAAGCACCTGAGATAAGGTGAGGACGGAATTTACAAAGACTTGGGAAGAAAGCTTGCCCAGGGCCGAAGTCAGATCAAGTCAAAACATACAGTTCTGTTTTCCACTGCTGTTTCACGTGAACGGTTTCACCGGAAGACTGAGGAGTTAGGGTTTTTTCCCCTCCAGATACGAAACTTGGCCTCTGTGAATATAGTATCTTTTAGTTTCCACTGTACCAAAGCAAAAAAACAAAAACCAAAAAAAAAAACCTGTTGTCATCAAGTCGACTCCGACTCATAACGACCCTACAGGAGAGAGCAGAACTGCCCCATAGGGTTTCCAAGGAAGTGGCTGGTGGATTCGAACTGCTTAACTTTTGGTTAGCGGCCGAGCTCTTTACCACTGCACCACCAGGGCTCCATTGTAACGGAAAAGGAAATTATTTTGTAATAAATTAAAAGGAACTATTTAGGGGAGTTTAATTTATGTATTTTGGTTCTTTTATAGTTTTCTTATTCTGAAACTATTAAAAAATATCAGTGATTTAAGTTACAGGTATGTTTGTGTGCCTTACAAAACCTTAAAAATTATCGATTTTCAGAGATAGAAACTATCAAGGTTCAATAATATCTATACTTTGGGGAAAACTTCCCTTTTAGAATATCCTCACATAAAACAGTCTGCTGCAATTGGGAAAAGCAGGGGAGATAATGTTCTACATCCTTATCTCATCTCCTGCAATGGGGGACATTTCCTCATGACGGTTAGTTTATTAACTTATGGCAGGCCTCCAGGAGTAAATAAGGGTTGAACATTTTGGGGACTGTGCCAAGACCTTATGCAACATCTATGCCCTTTGTCAGGAAAAAAGGGACTCTGCCAGACAAGTTACATCAAAGTTGGGGGCTGCAATGAGACTTGACGGAATGAAATCCTTTTAGTACTTCAGTAACCAACCCCTCAAGAGGCATAAACCTGAGATCAAAGCTTCCCTTTGACATATGGTGTTCCCAGGTACCGATCTTCAAATGTCCATCAGGTTCAAGAAATGAAATTGAGAAGCATATTTGAAGTCTCACCCACGTCAGCAACACACTTCACAGGTACTAATGCTTGCTACTGCATTAAATCTTCCTGTGTTGTCTTATGGAAACCCTGGTGGCGTAGTGGTTAAGTGCTATAGCTGCTAACCAAAAGGTTGGCAGATTGAATCCACCAGGTGCTCCCTGGAAACTCTATGAGGCTGTTCTACTCTGTCTAGAGGGTTGCGATGAGTCGGAATCGACTCGATGGCAATGGGTTTGTTTTTGGTTATGGGGTCTTACGCACACCAGCTGCCTTTGAGTTGACTCTGACTCATGGCTACCCCAGGTGTTATCAGAGAAGAACTGCATGTATTAGGGTTTTCAGCAGCTGGTTTTTTTTGGAAGTAGATCGCCAAACGTTTCTTCCCAGGCACCTCTGGGTAGACTTGAACCACCGACCTTTCAGTTAGCAGCCAAGAACATTAACCACTTGCACCACCCAGGGATTCCTAATGTGGTCTTAGGGGCCCTTGTTCTGTCCAATTTTCCTAGTTCAATGTACCTGAGGAAACTTCCACTTGAATTTTTCAGTACTTCTACCAGCGATAAGACATATAACTTCAAAAATTCAGTACTTCCAAAGGAAATCACCTGAAGCCCATTGAAGTTATTTCAAAACTTACCTTGGCTACTAAAATCTCCACATTTCCCAGTCCTTGTGTCTAGTTCCCTGGTCTCTCCTTTCTACTGTTTCCCTCTTCCTCTCCCATCTTTTTTGTTAACTGAGCAGTTCACACCCTACATTTTTTCTCCCCCCGCAAAAAACAAAAACAAAAACAAGAACAACCTAAGCGGCTGTCCTTGAGTCGATTTGATTCCAAGGGATCTCTTTTAGTCCTCAGAATCAGGGGCAGGGGAAGCAGGAGAGGAAGAATTATATTTTCTTCTTTATTTGGTGGCACAACTATATGCCTTACGTTTCAACGTCTGTATGTCATAACTGGGTCACTTTGAACCTTAAAGGTTTCCTTTTGACCTGGAAGCTTTCTCTCTCTTCCCCTTAAACTGGCTTGCGTCAACGGATCTTTCTTCTGCTAAGCTGCCACTGTCCTTGTGCTCCAGGCCATCTATGTGGAGATTACGTGGGTATCGGTGAGGGTGGCAGGAAGAAGCAACCACAGCCGAAGAGATTTTCCATGCCGAGCACACGTCAGAAGCCCAGACTCTCACCTGAATGAGGAGATCGATAGCGGAAGTCCTCTTTGGTCAGCAGGAGGAGAGCTTTGCCATTCATCTCAAACGTGTTGCTGTCAATTGGCCTTAAAGAAAACTCATTTTCAGCCCACTTGAGCCACTGGGCTACGTCATCCCTGCTCCAGTAAATTGGCTGCAAGCCTGTTGGAGAGAGAACAAGGCAGAAAGAAAGAGAGAAGAGGGAAAAAAAGGTCTTGTCAGTTAGACAGTTGGAATAAAGGGGAAAGATTTCTGAATAGTTAACCAAACTGAGTCTCCATGTCTGAAGAGCCCTTATGTTCAGCTCTGAGTCCCAGGTTAAAACCGGAGCCTCAGAAGTGCCAACATGTGCTATCAGATGAACTTCTTTTCTCAAGGCAAATGAGGAACCATCCTTTTTTTACATCTTTCAGAGCTGGTAGGTCTGAGAGCCCTGCCCTTCCTTGCCCAGTCCCAGGGGCTGCCTTGATTCCAGGTTTGCCCTAAGGGTGCAGCTCATGATGGACTGAATCAGCCAAGAAGGCTCAAGTCACAACAAACCTCAGCTTGCTCTGGACGGGACCTTAGAGTCAGACGCTGTCTGATTCTAGCCCAGAGTCCTTCTGAAGTGAGAATGTCCCAGAGCTGGGCTTGACCTTACAGAGCTGCCAAATAATGAAGTGTTCTCTGAAACTTCTTCCAGGAAGAGCAATTCGCTCAGCCTCTGGGAAGCCAGCAGGCAAGCCTCTGGGAATGAGGGTCTTTTGCCTGATGTTAGAACTTCCTATGGGCGTGGTACTTGGACTCTGAGTAGGACCAGAAGTGGGCTGGAGACAGAGCTGGAGTGGAGGGTGAGAGGGTGGCCCAGGCCAGGTCTCTGGAATCCTGACTATGAGTCTATATATTTATTTTATTTTGCTGCTGTGGGAAACCTTTGACATATCATTCAAGTGGTTAGAACAGGGGTTCTCAAAGTGTGGTCTCGGGACCCCTTGGGATTTCCAAGACTTATTTAGGTCACCTATGAAGTAAACTCTATTTTCATAATAATATTAAGATGCTATCTGCCTTTTTCACTTTCATTCTTTCACGAGTGCATACTGGAATTTTCCAGAGGCTGCATGATGTGTGATACTTGCAACAGACTGAATGCAGAAGCAGATAGAAGAACCCAGTCATTTCTATTAAGCCAGACAGTAAAGAAATGTACAAAAATGTAAAACAATGTCACTCTCTCACTAAATTGTTTTGGAAAATACATTTATAAATACACAATTTATGTAAATATATATTTGGATTATTATTTTTCAATAAATTAGTAAATATTTTTTAAAATTCTCAGTTTTAATTTCCAATATGATAACTATTGGTAGATATACCCCATATAAGTAAAAGCTCTTGGGAGACTTCCATAATTTTTAAGAATATAAAGGGGTGCTGAGAGCAAAAATTTTGAGACCCATTGAGTTAGAAGAAGCTAGATGCTCCTAGAGAATCATTCTCTAAAATCGTATTATGCTCAATAGTTCACACAGAACAAAATGGAATCAGCATTTGCTAAGCAGAGCTTCCATCTCTCAATAACGGCTACTTAAACTTGCTAAGGAGACTCCACAAGTGTCCTATAAAAGTGTCCTTCAGTTTGATCCCGAAAGATTCACCGTTGATCCTGAAACCAGTCTACCAGTTGGGGGGCTGGTCTTCCCTGTGGGCGTGGGAAGCAAAGGGCTCAGATGCCCTGGAGAATGTCCAGAGACACCCGGCATGATTGTTGGCTGTCTCTTGAAAGTGGCTTTTTTGCAAAGTGTTGTCATTTTGAAGAAGGTAGCTGCCTTCCTCTAACCCTATGAAATCCCTTCAAAACGAGTCCTCCTTGTAGGGCACCAGTAAAGAACTACAAGCAATGAAATAACTGGAAGTGGGCCATTAAGGGAATCCTGGTGGGACACTGGTTAAGAGCTCGGCTGCTAACCAAAAGGTTGGCAGTTCAAATCCACCAGCTGCTCCTTAGAAACCCTACGGGGCAGTTCTACTCGTCCCATAGGGTCAGTATGAGTTGGAATCAACTTGAAGCCAAAGGGTTTGGTTTTTGTTTGTTTTTTGTTTTGGGCCATTAAGAGTTTTTTCATGTTTTGTGATAATTTTTTTTTCACACAGTATAAAAAGTATTATAAAAAAAAAAAACTTGTTGTATGTTACTGCTCTATGGCCATTATAGTAAAACCTGGCCACTAAAAGATTCAGGTTGTACTTCAGACCTCTGGCTGGGCCTATTAAAATGGCCCATGGACACAAGGGGTGCCCCAGCTCTTTCCAGTCATCCTGAAATGCATATCCGGAGTCACAGTGAGGTGGGAGTGGGGGTGAGGTGGCTCAGCAAAATCTCAGTGTTTGAGCTGGGGAAACACCTCAAAGTTGGCTACCTGCTGTCAATGATGGCATCTCTGAACACGAACAGCATGGCGATTTGATATTATGGACTTGACCTTCCTCTCCTTCATGGGAGGAGTATGATTAAGGTCTGCCATTAAGTACAAACATGGGGTTCCAGTCAAGGACCACAGAGCAGAAGATGGTCTGTTAGAAAGAGGAAAAAGCATGAGGTAGCTTACTGCTTAGGGCTCATCTGGGCGCCAAAGCAAATACAGAACCGAATCCCGCTTGCGAGGGGAAACGAGAGTAAAAAAGCTGAAGTCTCTGCAGAAGACAACTGAAACGGAGGGAGGCGGGGGAGAAGGGGGTGGGGGACGCCAGTAGTAATTTGAGGTTCTTTATATTCTGTGGAAGAAAATACTCGTGAGTAATCTTTTCCCTAAATACAAGAAGAGTCACACATTCCAAACAGCCCTGCCGGTTAAGCACAGCAAAGTTTCTCTTTTCACTTCCCATTAATCTCTCCCACAGTCCAGCCACTGAAGCAACCAGGGCCACAATATGGAAATCCCCTCTCCAGGAAGCAAGCAAGGCAAATGCTCTGGCTTCCTTTGCAAGAGGGACCCAGTGAGTTACAGCCACTCCAGGGAAGACTGCAGCAATCCTAGGAGTTAACAAATGGGAGCCTGACAGCAAGCTACCTGCTCGAGGCCACTCAAAAAATTCAGCAGAGCTGCTGCTCTTCTGTTACCATAAAGAGAGAAGGTAGACACCTTCACTGAGCTGGAAGGGGACCTGATAAACTTTGGTGTTCAAAATCTCACTGCTATTTCCTTTTTAATGCAATAGAATAAAAAGGTTGTCATGTAGAGTGTGATTTGTAATTATAATTGAGGAAAAATAAATCTTGCCCCAAATTGAAGCGTTCTAAGGCCTTGGGCATTATGGTATCTGAATGAAATAGTGTCTTATACCCGGGGCAACTCTGGTCTATTTACCAGTCGCCATAAAGTCGATTCCGACTCATGGGGACCCCATGTGTGTCAGAATAGAACTGTGCTCGTTAGGGTTTTCAGTGGCTAATTTTTGGAAGAAGATCGCCAGGCCTTTCTTCCGGGGCACCTCTGGATGGACAAACCTCCAACTTTCTGGTTAGCAGTCCAGCGAGTTAACCATCTGCTCTACCCAGGGGCTCTCTGGTCTTTATAGGACCATTTAAGTAGCTTAATAGTAATTTATTAAGCAAATCTACACACTGGGCACTATTCTAAGCACTTTATAAATATTAGTTGATTTAAATGCGTGTTCACAGCCACCCTATAAGATAGGGTTTCCAATGAGGAAACTGAGGCCCAGAGCATTTAAGGGACTTGCCCAAGGTCCTGCGGCTAGTAGAAAAAGAGGAGCTGAGATTCGAACCCAAGCATCTGGCTCCAGAGTTTGTGCTCTTAGCTGTCATTCTATTTTTACATAATGCCTTCTCAATCAGTTTCAGAATTCAGATTTGCTTTCAACATCTTCTAGGGATTCAATAAAGACTTGGTGAATTGAATCCCCCTCCATCCAAGACTTAGATCCTTGGAGCTTTCTCAAGGTATCAACGGACTAAAAATATAGCAAAAACCCTGTAGATCCCTGGAGAAACCGATTTGTTAACGGGACAGCACGTGGGGTGAAGGTGAGATTCTGCTTTTAATGCATCCAGCAATAAAGCACCGCCTTCATCAACTACTGGCTCCCAGGCACGCACTGCTCACAGGGGTCCCTGACGCTCTGTCTTGAGACATGGCTCAAGCCGCTAATGTGACGGAAGCTGTCGGATGAGGGGGGACATCATTATACACAGATTTTGTACATTACTGGTCTTACAGTTATCTTTGCAACTATGACTCGACAAAGCTGGAGGGTACAGATGTTAACGATTATTAGAAAATTCTGCACCTATGTTTTGCTAATTCCTATGCACGGAGGGTCACTATGAGTTGAAATCGACTTGACGGCAATGGGTTTTTTTGGGTGCACATAGCAAGCCCGTGAAAGTCACATGAAGACTGGCATTTTTAATGCCAACTAATTTCAAAGACTATTTGAGAAGAATTTTGTACAGAGAAAGGGAACTGCTCGGATTAAGAATTACTAAGAATTCAACGGCCCTTTTTTCCCCAAGTGGGTCAAGTTGAGTTCATGGTGTCATACCCTTCAATGACACACCCAGGCCCTTAAACCTTCTTCTAGTATTTCCTCAATTCCATGTTTCAGGAGGCAGCCACATTAAGCCATACGCTCTTACCCTCCTTTTTGACTTTCTGAGATCCACTTAAACTAACAAACGATGAAAACTGTGCTGGGCATCAGGAGCCAGGTTCTCACTCCCAGATCTGTCATTAATTAACATGCAGTTCTGGGCAGGCCCCTCCGCTTCTCATCGGCTCAGTGCCTTCATCTGTAAAATGAGGAGCTTCACTTCTGGGTTCAATACAGTCAATATTCTCCTATTTAATCGGAATCCTCACAAAGAATATAAACAGCCAGGGCTCTTTTTCTGCAGAACTACATGCTCACTAACAAGACCATGAGATTCTGTATCTTCCTGAAGGGACTTCTGAACAGATTAAATTTCTCTAAATAGAGTTTAGTGCTTAGGAGTGTTGTGTTAGATGCTAATTATTTGAAAAGTGATATCCCAGCTATTGAAATAATAAACATAGCACTTTGCATCTGTACAGTACCTTCACATGTACTACCTCATGTAATTCTCACCAAAGTCCCCTGACAGAAGGCAGGTTCTCATTCCAATTTAATAGATGAGG